CTTGTTGGAATTCCCTACACCTCTGCTGTAGCAGACGGACAGAAAATATGGCATCTGTGCAGGACCGCCCTTTCCTGAAACCGCATTGGGGCTCCGCAAGCCTCTCCTCAGCGTGCCTGGCAAGGCGATGCTGAATAATCCTTGCCAGGACCTTTCCCGGCACACTGAGGAGTGAGATGCCCCTGTAGTTGTTACAGTCTGTGCGGTCCCCCTTCTTAAAAAGGGGGACCACCAGGGCATCCTTCCAATCCTGCGGAACCCGTCCAGTGGTCCAGACTGTTGTTATGATGTCATATAGGGCAGTCTGTGCACAAACGCCACCCTCCCTCAGCATTTCGCTTGGGAGATCATCTCTGCCCGCTGCCTTTCCTGGTCTCAGACTCCGGATCGCCTTCAATACTTCCTCAGCAGATGGCACCTCAGCCAGCCACTCACAGGGGGTGACTTCATCCAATATTTGAGGCACCGCAGCCTCAGCAGGGTCATCCTCACTTTGTGCCACGATGTTTTCCTGGCTGAGGGATTTTCCCTCCCCCAGGACCTCACAGAAATGCTCAGCAAATCTGCCAACCTGTTCCTGGGGGTCGGAAATTGGATCACCGTTTTTTCCCCTAATGATGGTAATAGGTGTGGCGCTGCAGGTTACTTTTTTGATGGAGTTAAATAGAGATTTGTGATCACGGGCCACTGAGGCAGACTCCATCTCCTCAGCAACCCGCGACCACCACCCATCCTTGCAGCGCCTCACGGCTCTCCGAACCTCCGAGCGAAGGCTGCGGTAAGCCTCCTCATTCTCTGACGTGGGATTCTGTAGCCGATGACAGTGGGCCTGTCGCTTTTTCTCAACCATCGTGAACAACTCCTCTGTCATCCAGGGTGTCTGGGGAGGTCTGGACCGCGTACCCAAAGCAGCCATTGCAGCTGCATGAGTCACAGTCCTAAACCTCGCCCATTTACCCTCGACATCAGGAGGAGTCGGGGACGATACCAATCCCAGCCGCAAGCGATGATGAAATTCTCGCTTGCAACTTTCATCAGATAACTGAGACCAGGCCACTTTAGGTTGGAATGGGGTCCTGGGTGTACACCCACCACCGGAGTGGAAGAATGGCAGGCGCATCTTACAGATGACTAGTCGATGGTCAGAGGGCAGATCAGCTCCACGGTAGGTCCTGGTGTCAAGGACATGGGCTCGCATTCGCTGGTCCGTCACTATGTAGTCCAGCAGATGTTCTTGCTTGGACCCGGCATGCATCCATGATGTTGTGTGGATGCGCCGATGCCGGAACAGCGTGTTGGTAATTACAAGCCCATGGGCTGCACAAAAATCTAGCAGCCTCCTACCGTTGTTATTGAGCTGATCTGGCCCATGCCCTCCAATCACTCCAGACCAGGTGCCAGTATCATGACCAACTCGGGCATTGAAGTCACCCAACATGATGACTCTATCCCGAGGGGCCACTTTAGCCAGCACCTGTGACAGGAGGTCATAGAAGGCATCTGACTCATCGGCTTTGCCTGCATCCCTCCACGGATGTTCATCTTCGGTGGGGGCATAAGTAACCACGACCACCATTCCTCGCCTCCGGTTGATGGGAAGGCGAGCCCAAAGTAGCCTGGGGCTTACAGCTTCCCACACCTCACCGCCACGCTCCCACGCCCCCTTCATTATTTTGTTCAAAAGAAGACCCACACCCTGTTGTTTGGCAGTCTGCTGCCCCGAGTAGAGGACTGTCCACCCCTCATGGTGGCAGGAGCCAGAGCCGGTCCACCGGACCTCCTGAATGCCGCATAGATCCAGGCGGTACCGGTCCAGCTCCCGACAGAGGAGTGGCAGCCTCTCCTCTGCAGTGAACGTTCGAACATTCCACGTGGCCAACCGTAGTGGCTTTTCATTGTTTCTGGAGTAGCCCCGAGGGTAGGTATTCAATCTCCTGGCTCCGCCAATTGGGGTTTGGCCAGGAGACGTCATAGACGCCTGGCCCCCCGGGGCCTCCGGCACAAGCTTAGTTGTTACATATTTCAGTTTAATTCGTAGTTTCGTGGTAATTAATTGAAGGTGGAGGGGTTACCAGCCCCTCGCACCCGTCCAGAGCCCCCGTTTAGCCCCTGTGGTGGACACATATGCCATGAGGGGAGGAGCCAATCAAAATTGGATCTCCCCCCACAGCGCTGTCCACGACGGAGTTGCCCGTCCGGCACCGCGAGGAGGTAGGGGGTTGTTTTGCCAGACATTCACACACACATTCACACACACATTCACACACATTCACACACACATTCACACACACAGACATCCACACACCACAGATATTCACACACACACAGACATTCACACACACATTCACACACATTCACACACAGACATTCACACACACAGACATTCACACACACACACAGACATTCACACACACACAGACATTCACACACAGACATCCACACACACAGACATTCACACACAGACATTCACACACAGACATTCACACACAGACATTCACACACACAGACATTCACATCAAGCCTAGTTGCCATCATCATCATCGTCGTCGTCACACCGGCTAGGAAGGGGCCACACAGATACGTGATTGTGTGTCTTCCTGTGTCCGTCATTGAGCTTCATCACAACAGCTCCCAATGCCTGACGCGTGCTGCTGCTGCTGCTGACAATACAAAGCTGGTGCTGTGGAATCGCCTTGACAATGCGAGACTCATCACCACCACCGGGGCCCCAGGGGTATCGTCGTTAACTCGCTCTCCCCACTCGCCCCTCCTCCTCTATCGTCGTGTCATGAAGGAGGAGGACGAGGGTTCATTGCCCGAAACGTCGCCTGTTATATATGTGGCCTTGTTACGAACAAAGACAAAGATTCCGCCCCCATCGTGTAGCCTTGACAGACTTTTGGGGCAAGTGCTGTTCGCGAGTCGCAGCATCTCTGAAGGCCGTCACGGCAACACGAGGGGGTGGGTGGCCAGCACCACGCCCTCCTGCCCGCCTTTGTCTCCCCAGTGCTAGCGATGTTTACTGCGCACGGCACAACGTTACTACTCAGTTGAGGCTGAGTCGACCTAGGGCAAGCCGAGGACCCGGTTCAGATAATCGTCACTGGTGTTGGCCGTGAGCGGGACACGTGTACACACACAGAGAGAACACGTGTACATACATACACACAACACGTGTACACACACACACAGAGAACACGTGTACACACACAGAGAGAACACGTGTACATACACACACACAACACGTGTACACACACACAGAGAACACGTGTACACACACACAGAGAACACGTGTACACACACACACACAACACGTGTACACACACAGAGAACACGTGTACACACACACAGAACACGTGTACACACACAAACAACACGTGTACACACAACACGTGTACACACACACAAACAACACGTGTACACACAGACAACACGTGTACACACACAGAACACGTGTACACACACAGACAACACGTGTACACACAACACGTGTACACACACAGAACACGTGTACACACACAGAGAACACGTGTACACACACAGAGAACACGTGTACACACACACAGAACACGTGTACACACACACAAACAACACGTGTACACACAACACGTGTACACACACACAGACAACACGTGTACACACACAGACAACACGTGTACACACACAACACGTGTACACACACAACACGTGTACACACAACACGTGTACACACAGAACACGCCTACGACCGAGGGGAGGCTGAGTTGGTCTCAGATAATCTCCATCACTGTGGTGGGTTGGTGGCCGTGAGCGGGAATCAAAACTCGGGTTCGTAGCGCAGCGCGAGAATCACTGCACACCCCCCACCTCTACCCCCCCACCTCTATCCCCCCCACCTCTATCCCCCCACCTCTATCCCCCCCACCTCTATCCCCCCACCTCTATCCCCCCACCTCTATCCCCCCCACCTCTATCCCCCCCACCTCTATCCCCCCACCTCTATCCCCCCCACCTCTATCCCCCCCCCACCTCTATCCCCCCCCCACCCCCCACCTCTATCCCCCCCCCCTCTATCCCCCCCACCTCTACCCCCCACCCCCCACCTCTACCCCCCACCTCTACTCCCCCTCCCACTCCCCCCACTCCCACTCTCCAACCCTCCCCCCACCTCTATCCCCCACCCCCCCCACCTCTATCCCCCCCACTCCCCACCCCCACTCCAACTCCCCCCCACCCCCCACTCCCCCCACCCCCCACCCCACCCCCACAGGTGTTGCTGGGCCCACGGCAGCGCTCATTGTGGGCGTGCCGGAGCCGCCCCCCCTGGGAGCGCTCAAATAGCGGGGAGCAGACAGCCTCGTTACACAGCAGACAGGTTCACTCTACTGTTAGTCTCTCTCTACAGACAGGTTCACTCTACTGTTAGTCTCTCTCTACAGACAGGTTCACTCTACTGTTAGTCTCTCTCTACAGACAGGTTCACTCTACTGTTAGTCTCTCTCTACAGACAGGTTCACTCTACTGTTAGTCTCTCTCTACAGACAGGTTCACTCTACTGTTAGTCTCTCTCTACAGACAGGTTCACTCTACTGTTAGTCTCTCTCTACAGACAGGTTCACTCTACTGTTAGTCTCTCTCTACAGACAGGTTCACTCTACTGTTAGTCTCTCTCTACAGACAGCCTCGTTACACAGCAGACAGGTTCACTCTACTGTTAGTCTCTCTCTACAGACAGGTTCACTCTACTGTTAGTCTCTCTCTACAGACAGGTTCACTCTACTGTTAGTCTCTCTCTACAGACAGGTTCACTCTACTGTTAGTCTCTCTCTACAGACAGGTTCACTCTACTGTTAGTCTCTCTCTACAGACAGGTTCACTCTACTGTTAGTCTCTCTCTCTACAGACAGGTTCACTCTACTGTTAGTCTCTCTCTACAGACAGGTTCACTCTACTGTTAGTCTCTCTCTACAGACAGGTTCACTCTACTGTTAGTCTCTCTCTACAGACAGGTTCACTCTACTGTTAGTCTCTCTCTACAGACAGGTTCACTCTACTGTTAGTCTCTCTCTCTACAGACAGGTTCACTCTACTGTTAGTCTCTCTCTACAGACAGGTTCACTCTACTGTTAGTCTCTCTCTACAGACAGGTTCACTCTACTGTTAGTCTCTCTCTACAGACAGGTTCACTCTACTGTTAGTCTCTCTCTACAGACAGGTTCACTCTACTGTTAGTCTCTCTCTACAGACAGCCTCGTTACACAGCAGACAGGTTCACTCTACTGTTAGTCTCTCTCTACAGACAGGTTCACTCTACTGTTAGTCTCTCTCTACAGACAGGTTCACTCTACTGTTAGTCTCTCTCTACAGACAGCCTCGTTACACAGCAGACAGGTTCACTCTACTGTTAGTCTCTCTCTACAGACAGGTTCACTCTACTGTTAGTCTCTCTCTACAGACAGGTTCACTCTACTGTTAGTCTCTCTCTCTACAGACAGCCTCGTTACACAGCAGACAGGTTCACTCTACTGTTAGTCTCTCTCTACAGACAGGTTCACTCTACTGTTAGTCTCTCTCTACAGACAGGTTCACTCTACTGTTAGTCTCTCTCTACAGACAGGTTCACTCTACTGTTAGTCTCTCTCTACAGACAGGTTCACTCTACTGTTAGTCTCTCTCTACAGACAGGTTCACTCTACTGTTAGTCTCTCTCTACAGACAGGTTCACTCTACTGTTAGTCTCTCTCTACAGACAGGTTCACTCTACTGTTAGTCTCTCTCTACAGACAGGTTCACTCTACTGTTAGTCTCTCTCTACAGACAGCCTCGTTACATAGCAGACAGGTTCACTCTACTGCTGCTGTTCTCTCTATAGCCAGCCTCGTTACACAGCAGACAGGTTCACTTTACTGTTAGTCTCTCTCTCTACAGACAGGTTCACTCTACTGTTAGTCTCTCTCTCTACAGACAGCCTCGTTACACAGCAGACAGGTTCACTCTACTGTTAGTCTCTCTCTCTACACAGACAGGTTCACTCTACTGCTGCTGTTCTCTACAGACAGCCTCGTTACACATCAGACAGGTTCACTCTACTGTTAGTCTCTCTCTCTACAGCCAGGCTCTCTCCACTGCTCTCTACTCTCTCTCTACACCTCCAGGCTCTCTCCACTGCTGCTACTGCCTCTGGCTATTTACCGGCGCCGCTGTCGCCGCCGCTGACTCTGGGTGAGTTTAATGACGCTGCTGCTGCTACTGCTACGTTAGTGATGTGATGATGCGCGCAGCAACGGCGGTAAGGCGATACTGGGACGGATCGCAGGTTCGAGTTGTTCTGGTTCCGGGGTGACCTGCGAACCAAGGCGACTTGAACCCGCAGTCTGTGTCGCTCTCGCTACCCACGGTCCGCCTGGGTTTGTCTGCGGGGTTCCTGCTCCTCTCGTTTCTCTCCTCCACGTTGAGAATCGTGGGTTCAGGTTGTTGTCTGCCGCTCTCAATAATCCCCACCAGGTGGATAATAAAGTCGCTCTAGTTGAGTCTGTGATGTAGGGTTCAGGTTGTTGTCTGGCGCTCTCAATAATACCCACCAGGTGGATAATAAAGTCGCTCTAGTTGAGTCTGTGATGCAGGGTTCAGGTTGTTGTCTGCTGCTATAAATAATCCCCACCACGTGAATAATAAAATATCAGAGTAGATTTTGATTTAAAGCTTTCGTGACTGCAGTAATTCATATTCTTAGCTCTTTCGGTAAATTCACGTGCAAGGGAAACAACGTGACTTTACCGAAAGAGCTAAGAATATCCGAGTAGAGTTTAAATTTCGACGTTTCGTTTAAATAGACGAATTAAATTGGGAACACGTGGATTGGAGGGCACGCGCAGGCTAGAGACATCATCATCACCAGCACAGTGATCTCCATCCAGCAGTGGATGGGCCCTAGATGTGATGATTACCCTGAGAGAGGGGCACGTGAATTATTAATTTATCGGAGGTGAACGCCTCACGCGTTCAGTGGCGAATATCCGAACAGGGTCCTCTCCTAGGTCGAAATCTAAACTCAAACTGCAAGAATACCTCGTGTGGTCGTGTAATGGTCGTGAGTGAATCTCTCTCGGTGTCTCTGTCTGTGCCGTGTCTGTGCGAGTGTCTCTCTCTCGGTGTCTCTGTCTGTGCCGTGTCTCTGTGTGGTGTCTGTGCGAGTGACTCTTTCTCTCGGTGTCTCTGTCTGTGCCGTGTCTCTGTGTGGTGTCTTTCTCGGTGTCTCTGTCTGTGCCGTGTCTCTGTGTGGTGTCTGTGCGAGTGTCTCTCGGTGTCTCTGTCTGTGCCGTGTCTCTGTGTGGTGTCTGTGCGAGTGTCTTTCTTTCGGTGTCTCTGTCTGTGCCGTGTCTCTGTGTGGTGTCTGCAGTGAGTGACTCTCTCTCGGTGTCTGTGTGGTGTCTCTCACGGTGTCTCTGTCTGTGCCGTGTCTCTGTGTGGTGTCTGTGCGAGTGACTCGGTGTCTCTGTGTGGTGTCTGTGCGAGTGACTCGGTGTCTCTGTACCGTGTCTCTGTGTGGTGTCTGTGTGGTGTCTCTGTCTGTGCCGTGTCTCTGTGTGGTGTCTGCAGTGACAGGAGGCTGCTCGCTCGTCATGGCTCGCCCTGGCCACGCCCTGGCGCTGCTGCTGGTGGCAGTCGCCGTCCTCCTGCACAGCTCCGTCGCCGGTAGGGGGGGGGTGAACACGGTGGTGGTGGTGGAGATGAACACGGTGGTGGTGGTGGTGGTGGAGATGAACACGGAGTGATTTTGTTCATCTCATCCAGCCGGTGTAACCGGTTTTCCATACTCTTCCATGCTTTTCCCGCACCTGGAGGAGTTTATCTTCTATATATATGTAGCGTTCGATTTCACTCGGACAACTTCTGTCTTTCTCCGAACACCGCTTTATTTACAACTCTCAGCATGTCCTCAATATTTTACAGCATCCTGGTCACCACGGCTCGCTCGCCACCTTTGTCTCTCCACTCCCCCACGATTACTTCGCTTACTCCACCGCTAACTTCTGTCTCCGCTCTCCGCTATCACCGTCACTACGCTCTCTCCACTGCTAACTGCTTCGACTCTGTTCAGCTCCGCTATCGCTACGCTCTCTCCACTGCTGGCTGCTTCTCTTGTTCAGCTCCGCTCCAAACTCTGTCTCCGAACTCTGGTTCCACGTCCTGCCTCGTCCAGCCCCCGACTCCAACTCTCAATTCCCCGCTGTTCACGCCAAGCTCCCCAACTTCAACAACCTCCATCTCCAAGCTCTCCAAACTCCCTGCTCCACTGCTAACGCCAACTCCCCCCCCCCTATCACTGCGTCCTCGCTCTCATTAATTAAGCCGCGTCCCAACGAGCTCCGCGTCTACCACACCTGCTCCCCGGCCAGACATCTCGGCGCCACTTCGGCCCCAGCCACAACACCAGCCAATCACAGCCGTCTCCGGCCTCCTGGCTTAATTGGCCTAACGTAACCTCTCCGTCCCAGCCACCACACCTCCTGGCTGACCCGACATAACCCGTACTGTCTTTGGTTCCCTGCAATCACCCTGTTTGCACTAAGCACCTTCCTACTCCACGACATATATTTATAAAAGTCCAAAATTGTGCGTGGGTTTGTGTGTGGTCGCGCGCTTGGCTCTCCAACCGTGGGGTTTATGTGAAAAAATAAAATAGCCAGGCACCACGCCGTAAGCCCCACGGTCAGCAAGCGCTATTCCTTTTTCACATCTGTCAACTTTAAATTAGTTTAATTAGCGATTTAGTGCGATTTTTGTGCGCTTCCATTGTATGTATTTATTGATGACGCATGCATGACCATGCCAAGTCGCACGGTGGGAGTGAGGGGGACATTTTCTTTAGTGTTAAAAATACACTAAACGCTGAAGCGAATTCTTCACTGTGTGATGTCCCCCTCACCCCGATGCGTGCAGTTACTAATATATACAGTCGCTACATGCTAGCACTAGATATTACTGCAAGACGCCCAGGGAGATTGTGGCTGAGGGGGGGTTCAGGGGTTGCTCCCCAGCCTGCCAAGGTGCCACCTCGGCCGGCTGGACAATCTAGGCGAGGCCGGAGGCTCTGCACGGGACTAGGCCCCGCCACGCCACTCTGTCAGATGAATACTTTGTGCTATACAGTCGCTAAACACTGCTATAGAGTCGACATGTACTACTGTAGTGATAGCAGGTACCACCACATTCGGCACGCACTGCTGTAATGATGTTTAAGAGGAGTTTTAAATAAAACAAAGTTTTACCCTCGCTCGGCCGCACCGGAAAGTCGTCGCGCGCCGCTCCTGCAGGATTGGTCGTGGCCGCTTGACAGCCCCCTTGTCAGGAGACCCATAGAGACGCAGACACACACAGACACACACACATAGAGAGACACACACATAAAGAGACACACACACACAGACACATAGACACACATACATAGACACACACACGCATATAGAGACACACACACGCATATAGAGACACACACGCATATAGAGACACACACATATAGAGACACACACACACACATAGACACACATAGACACACACATACACAGACACACACACACGCATATAGAAACACACACACGCATATAGAGACACACACACGCATATAGAGACACACACACGCATATAGACACACACACACGCACACATAGACACACACGTACGTAGCCAACCCTACGGTTCGTGGGGGGGGGGTGACCACAACAAACTAAAGGCACAAAGCGGTTCTAAACAAACGAGTTTGTCGACCTCGGCGATGATTGCAAAGTGCACGGCTCCCAATGGCTTCCTATTGTCAGAAGGGAGAGCGTTCCAGACGGCCACAGAAGCCGGTGCCCCCACCGCCTTTGTTGGTCCACGGCGAGCCGCTGCAGCGAGGATGACCGCAGTCTGTGTGGTGATGGTTCATGCTGCTCCACGGGGAGGGGTGGGGCACTGAGACCCCCCCCCCGTGGGGGTGGAGCACTGAGACCCCCCCCCCCCGTGGAGCACTGAGACCCCCCCCCTTGGGGGTGGAACACTGAGACCCCCCCCCGTGGAGCACTGAGACCCCCCCCCTTGGGGGTGGAGCACTGAGACCCCCCCCCCACCTCCTCCTGGCTCCTCCCCCCACCCCTCCCCCTAGCGGCACCGGCGAACGAGTCGGCCGTGGTCCTGGCCGTGGTCAAGGTGCTGCTGAACTCGACGCGACCCTCGGACGAGAGCTTCCTGGTCGACCCCACGGTGCTGTGTGCACTGCGCCTGGCACCGGTGCACAACCTGCGCATGGAGCGCTCCTTCCTCAAGCAGCTGCTGGCGCGCCTCGCCGACCTGCACCTCGACCGCAGGTTCGCCGACCCCTCCACCTCCCCCAAGAGACAAAGGTCCCCCGTGTAGCCTCGGCCGACTGTTGGGGCAAGTGCTGTTGGTGAATCGCGGCGCCCGACGAATGCCGGCGGCGGTACGCGAGGGGGTGGGTGGCCGGCAACGGCGCCCGGCCGCCTTTGTCTCCCCAGTGGCGATGACTTTACACGCGCCGACCCACCCGGGTACTCGTTTGAGGCCGAGTCGACCTAGGGGAGGGCCAGGATCGGTTCGGAGAATCGTCGCCCGGTGTTGGTGGCCGCGAGCGAGAATCGGAACCTCGGGACGTAGCCGGGTCCGCAGGGCAGCGTAGCAGCGACCGCCACCGCCACCGCCGCTCCCAGGTTCCATTCGGTGTTTGAACTTCTTAACGCAACCCCCGTTTGATCGCCAGAATGGGTAAAACCTCCTCTTGTTTCTCGTCTTGAGATCGTCTTCTCTTCTTGTTGTCGTTGTTCTTCTTCCCCCACACCTCCCGAGTAACACGACTGGCTACGTACGGTGCGGAAGAAGTCGTCCATGCAGACGCCGCTCTAACAACGCGGGGATGGGATTTTGTCCCACAGCTGCCCGGGGCAGGTGACC